CATCGACACAAACTAACACATTTGTCTTTGAGTCGTTTTTCTTTGTCAGGTACTCAAAACTGATCTGTGTTGAGAAAATGGCAGAACATCCATACTTCACAAGGTCCAAAGTCCCCAGAGATTCCTTATCCGATCAATGTTTGTCAAAAAGCAAAGAAAAAATGGTTGAACATGTTGAGAATACTGATATAAATGAAATTATTATGAATGACCCTATCATTGCTAAACAGAACAAGTTGATTGCACAATTGTTCCAACAGAATGCTGAAATGGATAAGACCCGAGATTTGACGAATTTGGCTATCATTGCGAACACTCCTATTCCAGACAATAGAAGACCTCCACTCCATTTTCCTACTTCGGATTCAACATCCGAGCATTTTCCAAACAATTCATCCACCACTACGAATCCAAAACCTCCCATCATCGACCTAACCATCCCTAACCCTTGTCATGCTAGCTCCTCACACTAAAGGTCATCTATTCCTCAAAATCCAAACACCTAGAATCTCCAGAATTTTCCTCCTAGTCATCAAATCTCTACTTAAATTGTCCAAAACCCACCTACCACTCAACCCATACCTCTTAAAACCGCATTTTATCTTCCAATATCACTAGAATCATGCCCTCCCTGTACCACACATTTTGAACTAGATGATTGTGAGAAGAAGGAGAAGGAAGGTCATAAAAGGAAAGGCTGTGCAAAGCATCATAGAGGAGGTTATGAATGCAATAAAGGACTTTCAATACACCCCACACATTGTGGGGTTGAATTATGAAGATTTGTGTCGTCATCCACATTTGGAGCTTCCAGAAGGTTTTCAAGTACCAAAATTTGACACTTTTAGTGGAGTTGAAAATCCTTTGACTCATTTGAGGGCTTACTGTGACCAACTTGTGGGAGTAGGGAAATATGAAGCTTTGTTAATGCGACTCGTTAGTCGAAATCTAAAAGGAGAAGCTTTGGAATGGTTTATTTCTAAAGAAATCAAGCAGTGGCTAAGTTGGAACGCTTTGGCCAAAGACTTCATTGAAAGGTTTGATTACAATGTGGAATTCATTCCTGATCAATACTCTTTGGAGAGAATCAAACAGAATTCTATTGAAAGTTATCAAGAGTATGCCTGCCATTGGAGAAGAGAGGCCGCAAGGGTTAGGCTTCCCATGATTAAGAAAAAGATTATTGAGGCTTTCGTGGACATTCAAGAGCCAGAGTACTACAATAGTATGTTTCTCATTTTAGGAGGGAAGTTCAGCGAGATAGTCAAAATTGGTGAAGCTATTGAAGAAGGTCTCAAGACCGGGAAAATCATCCCAATGACTCCCCAAGATGAATCCTCGGGACCATTAAAGAGGAAAAAGGGAAGATGTTTCATCTATCTCATTTGAATCGAGCCAAAAATCAGAGAGGCATGCCTGTCTCAATGTTCGAAAGCCTTTACCATCCAAAACCTACCATTTAGCTCTGCAAAATCCTTACCCCATCCAACCAAAATACCAAGCTCTATTGCTAAGTTACCCAAATGTTCAATCAAGTTATCAAGCTGTATTGCCAAATTACCCAAATACCCCTCCTAGCTACCAAGCTCCACAATACCCAAATTTCCCAGCACCAACACTTGCTCACCAAAATCCTCCAAATTATCGTCAAGTACCTCCACCGTCACGAAGTAATTACAATCTTTCTTGTCAGAAATTTTTGAAGAAACCTTCTCGAGTCTTTACTCCTTTAGTTGAAAGTCGAGCCCAACTTTTTAAGAGATTGCACGCAGCTGGTCTAATACAAACAATTGATCCAAAAAATATCAATGTCAATTCTAGACTTTACAGGCTCGATCTTCATTGTACTTACCATTCAGGAGGTGCTGGACATACCACTGAGGATTGCATCAACTTGAAATATAAAATTCAGGACTTGATTGATCAAAGAATTGTCACTCTTCAAGCTGTCACTTTCAATGCCAATGGTAATTCACTGTTGAATCGTGGAGGATTCACTATTAACATGATTGACCCAAAATTTCAAGCACCTCTCCACCAAAATACTCCGAGTTATCACCAAGTACCTCTCCCTCAGCAAGGCAGCTATGATCCCCTTTGTCCATGTTTTGAGAAGAAACCTGCTCGAAATTTTACTTCTCTCATTGAAAGCTGAACAAAGTTGTTTGAGCGATTGACTGCGACATGTATTATTCATTTGGTCAATCCCAAGCCAGTCAATACTAGCTCAAGATTTTACCGAGCCGTTCGAAGGTGTGCGTACCATTCCAACAGTGTTAGGCATGATACTGAAGACTGTATTTATTTGAAGCACATGATCCAGGACTTAATCGACCAGAGAGTGGTCAGGACCGCTGCACCCAACGTCTACATAATGCTCTGCTGAACTATGGATGCGCCACTATCAATATGATACAGACAGATGATGAGTGGTGCATGGTAAATGAGATAGTTTTGGTTGGTCTTGACAACCTTAAGAAAGTTGTAGCTTCTCCAAGCATAAGTGAGAAGCTCAATTTTACATCATGACACCCCATCAATCTTTTGTTTTAGTGTCAAGAGATGGTAAACACAATAAGGGGATTAATCATGTTCCACCAAAGTCTTTTCCTTCCTTATGCCAGTCCTTTTTAGTAGAGGAATATGCCAATGATGACGGTCATATAGAAGGAATTGGGAATCTTTTTTAAGAAGGTGATGTTGCGCCTAAGAGGATGATCGACATACCAGGCATACGAGACGCCGAGACAATGGAGCAAGTCCTTAATTGGACTTCCACTCCGCTCTTGATTCCTCGTTCATCTTGATAGACAATGATGAATCATATGCTATTTCTAAAATCGATGGTAGTCGGAATGAGGCTCGGAACCCACCTTTTATGCCATGTTACCTAATTATGTTTTAATTTCCCTCGTAATGTTTTGAAAAAGGTAAAATGGCCCATGGTCATGGCCATTGTTATCATTTCCTTATTTTCAATGAAAGCCTCTTCTATTGCGAAAATTTATGTTGCTTGCTTTAATTTTTCTATCTAACAATCTTTTTGTTTCAGTAAAAATAATTTTCTAAACCTGTCAATATCATGTCATATCACAAGAAGAATGAACAAAAATGAGGTAGATGTCGATGATTTCAAAGATTATGACGATAAGGTCGTGATGTTCAAACACTTTGTCAAGGAATTGAAACAGTTCGAGACTCAGGGTAAGTCGAATCCAGATGAGACAAAAACTGTAAATCTAGAAAAGAATGATTGTGTGAGCGCCATAATCATGGTCCATCCGAGAGAAGCTCGAAAAGAGAACTCAACAGTTTACTTAGAAAATACATCGCTGCATTTGTTTGATCATAGGCCGTGGTCGAACATAGACATTCATCTCAAGTTGTCAATAGACTCAGATGCCATCAAGAGCTACTATATTTGAAGATTCAGAGTTTCTTTTATTTCTTTTCCTGTAATCACATCGTTTGTTTGTAATCGTATTATGTTTTGTAATTAGAAAATTATCTTTTTGTAATGAACTATGTTTGACCTGAATTCTGAAGAATGAGATACGAGGCGGGCTATATCTGCCTCGGTCACCTTTTATCCCTTTTAATATTTCTTTCTTTTGTACTTGAACTACATTCGACCTAAATTCTCAAAAATGAGATACGTAGGCAGCCTATGTCGGCCTCGGTCGTTCCCTTATTTTAATTTCCTATTTCTATTAATCTTTGAGGGGGAACTTCGTTTGACCTGATTCCTGCCTCAACAGGATACGTAGGTGCTACACCGGCTCGGTCATATCTCCCGTAAGATTTCTATTTTCCTTTACAATAGAAACTTGATAGAATTTTTGAGAGAGACTCAAAAATTGTCAAGAAGAAGACCTTTCCAACAAGTCTAAGACTGAAGCTACATTGAGAGTTGTAACTGGGACAAAAAAATTTAGAAGATCCCAAAAATTCCATGATTCGTTCATCAACAGTTCAAGATACGCCAAGACGGTTAACTGGAACAATTTTTTTTTAGGATAACCTCAAAAATTTCATCATGGCTTCATTAGAAATTTAAGACAGCTATGAATAACTCCAGCATGATCAGGAGTTCAAAAGTAACTTCAAGTGATCCCCAATGTTGTTTTCAGATTAGAAGTCAACTTCAACAATCTTTGACATTTCAAGAGTCAGATTGCCCAACCTTCAACTGTCTTCAAAATCTTTCCAACAAGTTCTCTAATAGATCTCCAAACATCAACCCTAAATGCGTTCATCAAGCTTTACGTGACATGATACTCAACAGTGACCTTTTTTAATTACAGCTTTTTGAAAATCTTTTTAGATTTTATCTATATGTTTCAAATATTTTTGCATAAAATGTTTTGTCTTGTCTATCGAGAAGTAAGAGATCGGAGCGTCAACTGAAGATAGCAAGACAAGGAGCAAGCATTTGAAGAAGTCAACACATATCAGTTTGTTTAAAAAACTAACAATTTTTCTGTAGATGCATGTCTATAAGATTGCCTCAAGTTCACCATATTCCTCCATTCAACGAATATGCCGAAGTCAAAAGGGCGAGGAACTCCCCAAAATTGACAAATTTTATGTGGATGCAGGAAAGTCTTTAAACTTTTTCAGAAGAAAAGAAAGAGTTCAGAATATGAGCAACAACACCTCGTTCTAATTCCCAGCAAAGCACGAGTCACAACGAAAATAAAGTGTTCAAAATAAGAACAACTGAATGCATCATTCTCAACATATACAAGCATCTTCAATGACATTATATTGCATTTTTCAGCATCAAGAGCATCTGGAGAATTTTCACAAATCTCGCCGATATCAAACGTGGCAATGTGAACTTTCCAGAAGGACATCGTCTTTGCCACCCAAAGGAAATTTCTATAGTATCGTCAAATGAGATAATACCACCAGCCGGAGGGACATTTCTACAGTATTATCAAATGAGATAGTACTGCCACCCGGAGGGACATTATCGTCATTTTATCGATGGAATATCATCATCCTATTAATGGAGCATCAACGTTATCACCCAGAAAGATATCAACATAACCCTGCCGATGGATCATCAATGAAGAATCATCATCCTATCAATGGAGCAACAACGTTATCACCCAGAGGAACATCAACATCATCCTACCATCATCATCCTATCAATGAAGCATCAAAGTCATCATCATTATAGCATCATATCAAGTCATTATCTACTGCATCAAAATCGATGGAGGCTGACGTCAAAACATTTGCCGAATACAGTAAAGCATACCACTTCTCTATTTAAATTACAGTTTCTGCTAACAAGCTTATTTCATTTTTTATCGAGAGTATCCAAGAGGATGAATTCTCAAATCAAACCACAAGTGCAGATGGCATCAAACAAAAATGCAGCATAACATGAAACTTTTTCTTAGTACGAGCTAATGAGCGAATCATTGAGTCGTCTACCTCGTTACAATTGGATATCCATCGAGCCATCCACCTAGTTACAGTTGGATATTTATCGAGTCATTCACCTCGTTATAGTTGGAATATTCATCGAGTCATTCACCTTGTTACAGTTGGATATCCATCGAGCCATCCACCTCGTTACAGTTGGATATCCATCGAGCCATCCACCTCGTCAATGGCGGGGCCAGGATTTAGATTGAGGGGTGTCAAAATATAAAGTAGTATGCACACAAAAAATTCAACAAAATAAATTTTACTAATAAAAGCAAAACATAATTACATTATTACAACCGTACTAGATGCGGTTTCATCTCTTGAAATGTTTTTACAATAGTATCATTAGAAATATTAATAAATACATCTTTTTCTACATAAGGAACTAGACAATCGCTCAAAAGCTCATCATTCATCTGATTCCACAAGTCATTTTTAATAAACTTCATTGCCGAAAAAGCTCTTTCAACGGATGCAGTGGCAATTGGTAAAAGCAAAGCAAATTTCACAAAGCGGAATACAAGAGGAAAGTTTAGGTTCTTCTTTGTCTCAACTAATTTTCTTGAGAGATCACAAAGTCCATTAAGATTGGAGAACCTTTCATCCATATCACGAACATCAATAATGTAAGTGGCAAGTTGATTCTCAAGAGCATTCATACTAAACTCATTAAAGTCATCAGGATATAACTTAGCCATTCTCATTATTTTTCTGATGTTAAAACTAGAAAATGAGTCAACTGGATTCAAACAAGCAACTCCATGAAACAAATCAGTAGTCATCTCATTGAAACGATCATTGAGTTTTTGAAGCTGCCAATCAATAATCTTACAAAATACTTCAACACGATAATGATGTAAGACCGTATAATCAGCAGGTTTACGCCTTGAACTTCCAGAATTAACATATGGCTCATCAAAATTAGGTAACAAAATGTTATACTTGATACAAAATGTGGATACTTTATTAATAAGTGCATCCCATCCATCATCTCTTAGCATTTTCAACCTTTTCTTTGCTACTTCAACCAGTAGCATAGCATTTGCAATATCTTGTTCTTTCTTTTGCAAAGATTTATTGAGCTCATCTGTGATTCCTAAGGTATCTCTCATCAAATGCAACATAAAAGCAATCTTAAATGTTTGACAAGTTTCGAGATATCCTGTTGCCTTAGTTCTTTCATCGGTAGAATATGCATCAACAACAAGTGCATCAAGAACATCAACAATAGATCCAAACATAAGAATAAAATTGCTAAAAGATTTGTAGTGAGATCCCCAATGAGTATCACCGGCTCTTATAAGACCAAGTTCTTGATGCAAGCCGGTACCGGTTGTTAGTTCACCCATATCTAATGCCTCTTGAATTTTTATTTTTATTTTAGAATCTCAAAATTCATCCATACACTTAAAAGAAGCTCCCAACACATTCAAAACATTTGAAACCAATAATATAGGTTCTCCCACTTGAATACATTTTTTTGAAACTACAACAAGAGTTAAATGAAGTTGATGAGCAAAACAATGAATAGAGTGAGCTGAGATACTTTCTTGCCAAATCAACATTTTAAGGCCAATCATCTCGCCTTGCATATTACTTGCCCCATCATAACATTGTCCGCGCACATAGGATAGACTCAATGAATGTTGAGCAAGTACATTGACAATTGCCTCCTTTAAAGATAAAGCACTAGTATCTTGAACATGTACAATATCAATCAATCGCTCCATCACAAATCCCATTCGATCAACATATCGTAAAATGATAGTCATTTGTTCCTTACGTGACACATCAAAAGATTCATCAACCAATAAAGCAAAATAGTCACCATTTAATTCCTGGATAATACCTTTGATGGTTTCTATCTTACATGCAGTGACAATATCTTTTTGAATCATTAGAGAAGTCATTTGGTCATTCTGAGGAGCACGTTCCAATACATAATCATAAATTTTATCACAATGTTTCGCATACCATGAGAGAATTTCAAGAAAATTACCTCTATTAAGTGATGATTTAGATTCATCATGACCCCAAAATGAAAATCCTTGATTCAAAACAAGTCTTACTACATCAATTGAGGCAGACAAGTGAAGCCAATACTCATGCTTAACTTGATCAGATTGTCTCTCAAATGCAGATATAATAGACTGTTGTTGTCACATTAGATCTTCACTTTTCTTTTTTGCCTGATTAAGAGTGCTATTCGGCCCATCAATATGTTGCTTAAAACTTTTCTTCTTATTCCAACTCTTAAACCCTACAGTAGAAAATACTTCACCTCCACCTTGATGAATGTTATCATCTTTAAACAAATAACAATCCAAACAATATGTTGCATCGTTAGTTACACTATATTCCAACCAATCATGATACTCTTTAAACCATTCTGAATTAAAACGACGCATATCTCCATAAAAGTCTGTTTGAGGAAAAAATATGATTCTCAGGTAGACAAGGACCTTGTCAGAGGTATGCTCTTCTAAATACATCACGATCATTTGGATGATAGTTCAAGATTGGAGTCCTTTTCGCTGGATCAAATTCTAAAGAATTTAAATCAATTTCTTGTCTTTGAGAAGAATAAAGTGGTACTTCTGATTGGTTGGCATTTTCTTCCCGTGTAAGTTGACTATTATAAGCCAAATTTGATTTTAGTACTTGGAAAAAATAGTTCTTCACTGATTTTTGAGACTAAATTGTAAAACAAAAATTTCATGAGAAAAATATATAATTGCAAACGATAAATCAATCCTAAACAAAACAAGTAAATATAAATAGAGCATTATGATGGCTGGCATCAACAAATTGAACGAGGAAAATAAATACAAAGTGTAAGAAAGTAGGAACTTACCGTTGCCATAACCAGGACATAGATTGACACCGAGCAATGGCGATTGAAGTCTAAAGACGACTGCACGACGCAGTCAGCGAACAAAGATGACTTTTTTGGACTCTTCCTCTTCAAAACTTTTGATTTTGGAATTGGGGATTTGTTTAATCCCTAGACTCTAAATTCCTAAAGTGTATTTTATTTCTTTTTAAAAAATAAAGTATTAAAGTAAACTTAATTTAAGTCAATGGTTTAAAAATTGGAGGAAAAAACGTTTAGCTATTTAAAAACTAAAGACAAAAAAGTTACAGTTGTCAAATAAGTAAAAAAAAAATGCTGAAAACCTTTAAAAAAAATAGACTTCAGCAAGGTTCGAACTCCCAACGCCTAGGTCAATGACAAGGCGGAACTTTGTAGCCCCTGAACCGCTGAACCAACCCTTCAACTTGGTCCAGGAGTGTCAATTCTAATATATATAGGTATAAAATCAGAATTTCACTTACCTATACAACGTAATTTTTCGATGAACGGGTGTCGCTTGACACCCCTCGGGCAAGGGTAGCTCCGCCCCTGTAACTCGTTACAGTTGGAACATTCACCAAGTCATCCACCTCGTTACAGTTGGACAATCATCAATCCATCCACCTCGTTACAGTTGGATATTCATTGAGCTATCCATCTTGTTATAGTTGGATAATCATTGAGCCAACTAGCTCGTTGCAGAGATCACCGGAGTTTGCCATGTAGAAAATAAGCAATGACATCTCTAAATCCTTAGCAAATCATGAGGGACATACTGTGTTCGAAAGCGGTATCCATTATCTTTTACTCTCAATACTTCTTTATTTTCTCATCTAGTTGAAAAAAGATGTTTATGCTTATCCATTAAGATATACTCATTTGTTATATGAATGATCATTATGTTTTTACTCAAGCCTCTAGCTAAAGCGGCACTATGTCTATTAATTATTTACTTTGAGCGTGCAGAATTGATATGACATCTTTCAAAGCAAAAATGATTTCAAAACATTAAGACAATGGAGCATCCGCAGAAACATGCAAGAACATAACCAAAAAGTGTAGTAAGATATGTTACCACTTTTTTCAATTACAGTTTCTACTAACAAGTTTATTTTAGTCTTTGTCGAGAGCATCCAAGAGGATGAATTCTCAAACCACAGGTGCGGATGAAGTAATTGTGGTTGTAACTTCTTAATTATGGGTGTGTAAGTTCTTAATCACAGGTGTGAAGCGCGCCACATTTATGGCTAAGAGGTTAAAAGACTCATTTTCATACTCGATTTATTTTGTCACTCTTCCTGAACCGAAGGATATTTTAGCATAAGAAATTTCCTTATCAATCGATCAAGTCGAACTACAAGTAGCCTAATTCCCTAAGTTGAGGGATATGTAGGCGGGATCAGTGTTGAAAATTCAGCTATTCGGTCCCTCCATAATTCGATATCAGGATGGCTTATGAATTCTTTCAAAATTGTGCGTGAAATCAAGTGTATTGAACTACAAGTGGCCTGAATTCTCATATAGCCTGATATATGTAGGAAACTCATTTTTAAGGGTTTGGCCATAATTCCTAAAGTCCGTTCCAAATCCCTTTTCCAAAAGATGAAGACGTGGTCGATCAAAATTGGATTCGTCAATTTCATTTTTCTCGAATTTCTTTCATCAATCCAAGTCAAACAAGGGACAGTTGTTGACACCCAATTTTGACCCTTCTCGATGATAATTGATTTCCGAGCTTCTTAATTTCGAAATGATTTAGAGTAATTAGCTTTATAAAATTCAAATAGTTTCAAGGTTATTTTAAGTAATTTCAGTCGATTTTTATAGTATTTCGAATAATAAATATATTTCATATAATTATATATGTAATTAGTATATTTTATAAATATTTGAAAATCATATCAAAATATTTTTTACATAGTTAAACTAAATATGTTATTAATTAGTTTTAGTTTGAATTATGGTTTAATTTCGAATTAATTAGTTTGTATTTAAATTAATTATTTACATTCAAGTTAATTATTTTATTTCGTTGAGATTAAGAAGCTCATTAATTGATACTAATCCATCTTAATTAGCTTTTAGCCTAATAATCGATTAAACTCAATTTGGCTAACTTCTTAATCTCCATTGGCCATAATTGCAATTCATGTGACCATTTCCTAATTTGCAAAACCCAATGACATTCTGACTTCTTTTAAACCCTATTTTTAGCCAAGAAAACAGGCCCAAATTCCCATCTCCAGACCGGCCCACTCCAATTCCAGCCGTTCCGAGGCCAAACTGTCACAACAATTCCCGGCCCAATCCCCTTATCAATAAGAAGACCTAAAAGCAGCGTCAAAATAACGTCAACAACAACATTAATTCCACGCGCGTGAGCAATGTCTAAACAATTCCAATCCACGCAACGTCTCGATTCCAACGACGTCAAAACGACAGTGCAATACGCGTCACACAAGATGGAAAGCAACGACGAGGAACACGTGCCCAGTACAGTACAACTGTTGTCGTCTTCTTCCAATTCGTACGAGCTTTCCAACAAAAGTAGCTCGTCCTTGTACGCGAGCAGGCTAGGTGGAGCAATCTCCTCGCACTTTTGCCCTTGCCCCTCAATCGAACGGCTTTCTTTGCTTATCCATTTGAGTAATCTATTGAAATTGATACGGGAATCAGCCTTGCTTTTATCCAATGAAGAAGAAATTCAAATTTGGAATTTGAATTTATCCAAATTTCTACTCGGTTTTCCCCCCAACAATCTGCCCTAGTTTTACCTATATACTGTCTCTTCTTCCTCAATGTTCAAGGTTGGAAAATTTGGTGAGAAATAGAGAGGAAAGTTGGAAGAAAAAGCGATATAGAAGAATAGCAAATATAGCGATAAAGATTTCGATTCCTAAAATTACTAGGTTAAGAATTTCTGGTTTGAGTTCACCCATTCGTTGTCGTCGAAAGCCTTTTTACATCAGAATCCTTTTTCTCGTGGTTGTGGAATCGTGTCCAGAAGCTTGAGTTCCAGTCGCTGCCCCCAAAAAGTTAATACCTCTTCCTTCGTATGATTTTCTCGTCTTTTCCATTTCAAAATGATATTTTTGATATTTGAAACTTTTATTCCATGGTTATTTGCTGTTAGTTATTGTTGGGTTGTTAATGTTTAATATTATGTGTTTGTTCTTAGTCGCTTTCATGGGTTAGTCGTAATATCGACTTAAGGTTCTACTAATTTATATTTAGTGTTGTTGGTTCTTTCCTTCCTTGTTTGAGTGCGTTTGATATTCTCCTTCTCGAATCAGTTACTTGAGTGTTATTGCATCTGTATTATTTCATTTTTATCGTGTTTAAGCTTCAAGTGTGTTGTTATTCTCTAATTTTCAAAGGTACAGCAAAATGTTTTTTTTTGTCTTTTGAAATTTGTTCAAACTAACACATGTTGTAATGTGAACAGTTGAAAGTATTTGTTTGATGAAACACCTTCGCTTGAATAATGTGGTGTTT